TTAAAAACACAGTAATTTTAAACAAAGAACCAAACATAAACAAACTAAAAATCAAGGAATCCATCTTAATTGAACAAAACCAACACCCCGGGGTGCCAAGATATGTCTTCTAAGTCATGCAACAGTATCCGGTCATGTGACCTCTTTGTTTCATACTGTATATATATATATATATATTTGTGTGTCAGTGTAAACTACTTGTATCTGATGATGACAAAACCTTGTCGAAACATTGCACATTTGCTGTTATGTTAAACTTATATTAAAGTTATTCTTCATTACCCATTCAAGTCATTTCCAAACATTATTTTGAACACATATTTATAGCCTGACAGAGGCCTAGAACATTCCACAGACTACGAGATATTATGATGCAATAACACTCAATTAAAACAATGAGAAAAACTTAGAAAGTTCTACTAACATGACACAATAATAGAACAATTGCCACTTCACAACAATTGAACTAAACAGTGCATGATTTGAAAAGAGTTATGTAAATAAACCTGGCTTCTAAAAGTAACTAAATTTAACATTCATGCTATATTTAAACCATTTAAGTCATAACACTTGCATTTTACTTAAACAGTTGTGTATATCTAACAATACTTATATGAAATTATCAGATCACCACTTGATTAATCTCAAGGAAATGTGTAGGTGACTTTAACAGCACTTATAAATATAGGAGTATACTTAAACCAATTTCCAGAGAATAATTATAATAGGTAGGCAAACAATGATTTATAAGCATAAGAAAAAATTTTATTGATGGAACATTGGTCTGTATTCTTCAATAAAACTTTCCCATATGCTTATAAATCATTGTTTGCCTACCTATTATTATATTAGTATAATGTGCTTCCTTACTCAAGCATCAAGAGAATAATTAGACTACATCATTTAGTTAGCAAATACTTTTTCAATTTGAATAGACTTGTTAGAATTCATTTTCTTATTTTGAGAATAACTATTTTATTTCAATTTGAAATATTTATGTTGAAAAAGTTGTAGATATTATATTTATTTTACAGTTGACATATTTTGAAACTTTAGACCTATTAAAAATGTAACTAAGGATATCTGTGCTGAAGAGTTTGAATCTTATAAATTTTTTTCTGAATTCATTCATTTAAATATTTAAGTAGTTTAACATAAAAAAGTTTTAACTGTTTGAATTTATTTATTCCCACAAACACTGATCACATAAGATGATAGTTATAAATAATGTGAGGAAAGAAGACATTTACACTTTGTTTAAATATAATGATTAACAAGCACATTGTAAGATCTTGGGTAGTAAAATATTCCAAAGGTCTATTTATGTACAGAAATGGTCACAGTAAAAACAAAACATATCTATGATACAAGGATATTATAGTAAAAGTGAAGTAAATATGTACTTGTGACAGGGAACATTTGATACAAGTTTCACATTATTACTGTAGATCTTGAACACGAAAAGTGTATCAAAAGTGGAAGCCAAGCTTATTTGTGGCTCAGCCAATGCTCAGATAGACGATGAAGAGGCATGTAGACTACTTCAAGACCAAGGGACAACTTATGTAGTAGATTATATTCCTAATCGTATGGTAAGCAGAAATAACTAATAGGCAACTTACATTGTATAATATATTAGTAACCATATGGTAAGCAGGTATACACCAAGGGACAAATTATGTAATATCTAATGTTCCTAATTGTAAGATAAACAGTAATACACCAAGGGACAACTTATATAATGTCTAATGTTCCTAACTGTAAGATAAACAGTAATACACCAAGGGACAACTTATATAATGTCTGATGTTTCTAACTTTAAGATAGACAGTAATACACCAAGGGACAACTTATATAATGTCTAATGTTCCTAACTGTAAGATAAACGGTAATACACCAAGGGACAACTTATATAATGTCTAATGTTTCTAACTTTAAGATAAACAGTAATACACCAAGGGACAACTTATATAATGTCTAATGTTTCTAACTTTAAGATAAACAGTAGTACACCAAGGGACAACTTATGTAATGTCTAATGTTTCTAACTTTTAGATAAACAGTAATACACCAAGGGACAATTTATGTAGGAGATTACTGTATGGTAAATAGTGATACACCAAGGGACAACTTATGTAATATTTAATATTCCTAACCCTATGATTGGTATTGGAAGAGCAAGGATTTTAGACATTATGTAATGTATAATGAACTGCTTTGATTTGAAAGTAAAGAGATTTCTGAATTTTCCTAACAGGCTCTTGTTAATTCTGTGTACGAGTCATTGGGAAGAATGGAAAATGATCCATGGATGGAGAAACACTTTGACAAGTCCTGGGAACATTCTGTAAGTTTAGTTGAGAAACACTTTGACAAGTCCTGGGAACATTCTGTAAGTTTAGTTGAGAAACACTTTGACAAGTCCTGGGAACATTCTGTAAGTTTAGGTGAGAAACACTTTGAGAAGTCCTGGGAACATTCTGTAAGTTTAGTTGAGAAACACTTTGAAAGTCCTGGGAACATTCTGTAAGTTTAGTTGAGAAACACTTTGACAAGTCCTGAGAACATTCTGTAAGTTTAGTTGATTGTTGTTTTTATTAAGTTGTACCAAAAATTTTATTTTTATTTTAGTATCCAGAAGTATGTCTTTAGTTTTTTAATTTTGTTTTTGGGGTGTATTTGACATGACTCTTGTTTCCATTATATTACAATACAATCAAATGTATCTTTGAGTTTATTATAATTAGAGTTCATATTAGTTTATGATATTTAGCTTAAAAAGAACGAAAGTTATGCAAAGAAAAATATTTGATTAATTTAACATAATGTTTTGAAACATCAAGGGACCTATTGGCCCTAAACTAAACTAAAAATATTAAGTAAATAAATTAAAAACAAATCTTAAATCCAGCCCTTATTATTCATATAGTTATCAAGATTTCTCTTAAATTTGCTTCAATATACTGCCTCTACCACATCTGAAGGCAACCCATTCCAAAGGCCAACCACCCTGTTAGAAAAATAAAACTGTCTTACTGAAGGTGACTCCTACCCTGTTAAAATTTATATTTGTGTCCCCTAGTCCTACTATTCTCATTATTAAGTATGAAATTGATAGTGTTGATGCATCATCTTTTTTCCTTTACAATCTTAAACACTAATCAGGTCCCCCCTAACTTATCTTTTTCAAGAAAAAACAATTTTGAAAGATTTCAATCTCTCCTTGTATGACAACCCCTCCATACCAGGCACCATTCTAGTAACCCTTCTTTGAATCCTTTCCAACAATTCAATGTCTTTCCTAAGGTAAGGAGCTCAAGACTGAACACAATATTCCAAATGTGGCCTAACCAGTGACCTATACAAGGAAATTATAACCTCTTTAGATTTGTATTTAATATTTCTGTAGATACAACCTAAAATCCTATTTACCCTACCACTAGCAACAGCACACTGCTTGGATGGCTCTAGAGACTGATCAACTATTATACCGAGTTCCCTTTCTTTTGTGACACTGTTAAGGTTATTCCCATCGAAATTATATTTATAATTCAAATTATGATAACCCACATGCATTATCTTACATTTATTATCATTAAAACCCATTTGTCATTTATTTGACCAACTCACTAAATGATCTAAATCCTTTTGTAAATCAACAGCATCCTCTTCACAGCTAGCAACACCCAATACCTTAATATCATCTGCAAATTTAAGTAATTTATTGACTGTTCCTTCATCTATGTCATTAATGTAAATGAAAAAGGCAAAGGTCTTAAAACTGAGCCCTGAGATACCCCACTTGTGACATTAACCCAGTTTGACTGAACTCCAGTTGTAACAACCTTCTTGTTTCTTTTTTTACAAGTCTTTTATGTGGCACCTTGTCAAATGTTTTCTGAAAATCCAGATACTGCAAATCTACACTCTTACCCTCATCTACATGTGTGTGTGCATTTTTGTATATTTTTATTCACTATATGATTAGATACTTTTGTTTACTTTTAATGCTTGAGCATTGTGATAATCATATTTTTATTTTAGATTTTAAATTTTATGACTTGTCAAGCTCAAATTATTCTTCTCAAATACTTGAAAAATATGATAAGCAAGTTTCTGTAAAATAGAAAGCTTAAAAGCAGTGATATTCTTAGATATTTATTTTTTCTCTAAAAGGATGGAATCATGTCCAGACAATAGACTCCTTGCTTAGAAAGGGCTGCTTTAAGGGAGTTATTACAAATGAAGTTCGACATTCAATACGATTAACAAGGTACAGAAGTGAGAAGATAGCTGTAAGTTACCATGAATATAAAGAATACTTACGAGGTCGACGCTGCTAGTATTTCCATTACCTAGCAAGAAAAATTGGATTGTTCAACATTAAGTGGGAGTTTCCACTTGGTTTGATCTGTTAGACAAGGATGAATAGACTCTCAGTGTTAGTGCCTACAGTTTCTTTTTTTTTTTTTATTTTTTTTTTTTGCCTGTGAGCAACAGTAAAAAGATTTCAGCCTGAGAGATAAAAATAAAATATGCTTGCAAGTTACCATTTAGTGTGAAAGTATTTTACATGTTTTAACTGAATTAATGTGAATTATATGTATGAAAAATCATTATCGTAAGATCTTGGACCCGGTGTTTTCATTCACGTTTGTTTTACTTGTTTAGATTAATAGACAATTAACTTTTGATACAATTTATCTTAATAAAATTTCTAGTAACATATGGAGGTCAGTTTTTTTTTATAGTTGTAAATTAAAAACTGAAAAATAATGGGTACTTGAATGCAATAGCTAAGTAGCTATGATTAAGGTCAAGTTGTATTAAAGTTTACTGTTGAATTTATTGATGTATAGTATGAATAATCTAAGTCATATTTTTTTTTATTTCCTAAAGAGTTAGTCAAAAGTTGTGTTCCATGAGGAAGCAACAACAACAACACAGTTGCCACACTTAAAGATGAAAGAAATCTTCATGATTTTTACAATCTGAATAATGTGCGTAACATGAAAATGCTTTAACCTGCAGAGCTGTGGCTTCCAAATAAGGATTAGATCTAATTTATTAAGGCAGAATAAATATCTGTTTGTGAAATGAAAGTTAAAAAAAATGATAAATTTTATTCCATTTGGTATCTTTTCCTAGGTTTTTAAACTTAAATAATGTGCAGAATATGTTGAGGGATATTGTTAGCAATCATTCTTGCTGGAATAATATATTGGACAAATGAGAATCCAATTCTCATATTTAACTATGATGCAAGGTCCAGTTATTTGTGATTGTGCTATATATCATTACTTCTGAACAGTGGTAAAGATTTTCATCAGCCATTCTGTCCATTCAGAAAGAGTAGAAAATATATTTGTCTCTCTTCTTTTTCACAACTTTCTGAAAGCATGATTTTCATATACACAAATACATATAACAACATTGGCCATTTGTTTTATGTCTCTATGTTCACAGTAGTTTTGGTGTAACAAATGGATTTTCATTTTCTAGCTATGAAAATACCAAGTTTTAGCCTTTAACATGTAGATTAGCGACACATCAAAATGAATAATCTTATTCGTGTCTTTGACTCATATTGACTAACACTGATGTCATTACACTAACACTTCAGATTGACATCTTTATATCATTGATATATATATATATATAAATATAGAATGTTTGAAGTAGAATTTGTTACACTTGTTTTTGCAAGGCATTGTTGTGTTGAATGAGGTACATGGAAATGTTGAAGAAAAGGAGGTTCAAAATATGATTATTTATGCTGATCATCTGTCTTTAAATCTGTGTAGTTTAAGATTAATAAATCAGTATAGCAATTCCTTCTAACAAAATAAAATATGTACATGTATCCTCTTTCTTGAAAGTTCATGACCATTTACCTTGTTGCTTGTTATAAAATTATAACAAAGTTTGTGCCGTGTTTTTAGTTTATATACTTTATTTCATATAATTCCTTGTTATTATACAAAACATTTCTGTTCATCATCCAAAAAAGTACATTAGGATACATTTGGACAAATGTTTGAAGTTCAAGGGGTTCTCACAAGTTAAATTGGATCAAAGTAGAAAATATGGCATAATTTGCCTTTATTTGAGTTAAGCCTACTTCAATTAATTTACAGTGCTGAATTATAAGACAGATTTTTTTTTTGTATTGCTTAAAATGAATTGATTGCATTTTTGTAATATTTTATTGTTGCAGTAAGTCTAAGTAAATTCATTTTTCTTTTAGCTATTGTTTGACCATGTCACAGTAAGCAGAATCCAGTTATTATTATGAATACCATGGTTTTCAAGTATAAGGGTATTATTGAACAAAGAAACATTTTGAACACCTTGCACTGTGTGATTTAGAGAAAATATCGTATTGGAAAAATTATATGTATACAAGTTTTGCCCCATTGGCTCAGCTGTAGCAGATTTCAGAAAATAAATTGTTTAACCTTTTGTAAACTGGAGGGATATCACTGATACACCTTGATTTTTTTTTCCATTCCTACAATGAAAATACTTGACTAAATTGCATGAAGGACAATAGTATCTAGTTTTGATTTAAAAAAAAATGTATAATTGGATTTAGTTTTTCTGGCATTTTTTATGTTGTGAAATTTCCAAAATTTTATTGTAAGATGCTGCTTCGAGCAAACATTAAAACTACTTCCTCTCATTTTAGAATTTCAATTTTTTTAATGCCGCTTAGAAAGTTTCATTATATATATATATATAACTGTCAGTTTCAACTTGCTTGGTGTTTATTAATTATTTTTTTTATACTTTATTTTGCTAATTGCAGTAGTTACCACTTCTGACTTTAAATCATAAAAAAATCATGTCAGGTCAGACTAAGTAATAGTACATTTACTTACAGTGTTCTTGGTCAAAATCTGTATCTAATTAGTATGGGTTCTGTCATTTATGTGCATTGTTTGAATATTACAAACTTAACAGTAATATTCAACGAATAATGACTTGAGTCATTTGAATATTTTGCCATTACTTACTATGCTCTATAAACCTAACTAGTCTTACTTTATGTCTTGCCATGTAAGAATATTTTCTTAGTTTTCAAACAAGTATAACTTAACATGAAAATGTTTCCAGGAATGAAAAGAATGCTTAAAAAAAAGCTAAACAATTTCCCAGATTTATGGTTTGTGCCTAAGTCTTCTAAACTTCTCTTTAGATTCCATTTTTTCTTCTCTGTAGGAGTTAGGTACAAAACCATAAGTTACTTCTCACAACTTTATTCTACATTGTTGTAAGTAGTTGATAATCTGCTCTATCCAATGATATTTAAAACTTGCCCATAGCTATTTTAAAAGCTAAGCTTTATAAGTAGTTGTACACATGCTGTGGGTTCATAAAAGGTTAGGATAAAAGTCTGTACTAATAAAATCGGAGAAACAGGAAAAATATTGTACGAGGACAAAACCTTGATTCTCAAGGGATGATAGTTTCATATCTAGTGTAAAACTGTTTTTTTTTTGTTGTTGTGCAGAATAAATGTAAAATAAATTAATAAATGTGGTTTTTAGAGGAAAGATTCTTTAGAGTTGTGCAAAAATATGTTGGAATTTTGTTTATTTTTCTTTGTGAATTAGATGAAACAAATGTTATAAATAACAAATTATCAATTCTAAAATGTTTTTGAGTAAAATGTTGTTGAAATAGAGTAAGAAATTATCAGTTTTACTTGAAGTTTGAAATCTGATATGCAGGTGTGTACTCACATCTGAAAGTTGCTTACTGTTCTAGATAGGGGTGTGATAAAAATTTGAAAAACCAGCTGTTTTTGTCTTTCTGTACCATAAGTTGTTTTTTTTATCTGCATGTTTGAATGAAATTGAGAAAATGGTTAACTGGTTAATACATAACAGCAGTAAATTGACACATATAATTTTGTCCATTTTTATATATTTACTAAGCACTATCTAAAACTGAAAAGAGAAAAGAAGGTTTTCATATTCAGGACTACTTATACACCTTATGGAAGTTAAAGATATGCTATAATATCACAAGAAAAAGTAAAGGTATTTCATACTGGGTTTAAAATACATATATTAATGTAGACTTTGAAAGAACAAACTTTTCTGGTCTTACCACAAATTTGTGATTTTCCTGTTAACTTTAGAAATTCGTTAAAAAAAACACAAATTATTCAGCATTTTTCTGTAGAACAAAATTAACACTAAACTTTCATTATAAACTTGGGTATTATTAATATTAAATTTGAATCTAAACCGGGTGTCAACTCAAACCAACACTAAATATCAACCTGATAATGAGTATAGTTTATTAAATATGCTTTTTTTTTACATTTTTATTTTTAAAGATTAGAATGCATTAAAAGTTTAATAGTGAAATATTTGTATAAAGGTTTATGCAACAGGCATAAAGCTAAGTGGTTTTGTACAAAAATGTACAAGTACTTGAGTTTATAAGCATAGATCTACACAATATGTCTCAAGCCTAAGAATATAGTATATTATGATACATACTGATTTTTGTGTATTACATTGAAGCATAGTGGTTTGCAAATTATTGAATTTTCATAATATGAGTTAATTTGGTTATTTTTTATTATTGAAAACTTCTAGTAAAATATTGAGTATATTTATAAATGTGCATGACAGGTGTTCCTCCTCAGCATGTCCAGAGGCTAGTAATTTTGTTAAGTGATGTATTGTCATTAATGCATGTGTTACTCAGATTCCTTTGGAGGGTATAAATAAGAGCACATATGTTGATGATTTAAACTTATAACATATGCCTGTGAAATTTGGATGATGGAGGAAAAATTAATGATTCTTGATAACAGAAAAGTTTTTATAATGAAGAATATAAATTACGTAATTGAAACAAATGAGCAATCATACTGCTTTGTTCTTTGAACTGTGCCTATTGTGACATTAAGACTGTTTTCATAAATCTCACTGAATGTATGGCATTGTGTGTACTATTTACTTCATGCAATGAATACTTTGTCTCACACACAATTGACTTGTAAAAAAACTTTCCCTTGTAGCTGTGCACACAAACAGCTGAGCAGTAATCTGGAAATTACCATGCATTAAGAACAAAAGGCCACTTACAAATTAGTCTGGTGGTAATAGTTTTGTGTGGAAGACATGGGTCTACAGTTTGAATAATACCATGTCCAAATGTAAGGCATGAGTACAGGTTCTAACAACTGTTCAAGAAAAGTGCTGTTCAGTTTTTGTAGAGGAATGACTTGGAAATTATGGAAACCAAAATTGTCTATGAACAGAAATGTAGTGCTCAGGGGAGTATGTAGTCCACCCACTACAGAGTAAAATTTGAGGGAACATTGCCTATAGATAAATTTTAAAAGGAACCCATTCCATAAAAAAGGTAATTCACTTAAGTTATACCAACAACAGGCCCGGCATGGCCAGGTGGTTAGGGTGCTCGACTCTCAATCTGAGGGTCGTGAGTTCGAATCCCCGTCCCACCAAACATGCTCACCCTTACAGCCATGGGGGCATTATAATGTGATGGTTAATCCCACTGTTCGTTGATAAAAGAGTAGCCCAAAAGTTGGCAGTGGGTGGTGGTGACTAGCTGCCTTCCCTCTAGTCTTGCACTGCTAAATTAGGGATGACTAGTGCAGATAGCCCTCATGTAGCTTTGCGCGAAATTCAAAAACAAACAAACAAACAAATACCAACAACAGGTATCCTACATATGAACTCTTTTGCTGTGTTGTGTGTGCTGTTGGGTCTGTCGCATGATATCTGTTTGTATTGTGCTGGAATCTGTGGTATATAATAGTCTTCATTCACTGTATTCCTACATAAGTGTATTTGCATTCTAGCAGAAATCTTAGGTTACTAATGGTTTTGATATGACTACTACATATCATCAGCAGGATAATGTGCTTTCCCAAAAGTTTTGAAATATATCCTGAGGCTTCTCTGACATTTACTGCTTTACTTCTGCTACTGTATATATCATTGTTAAGCCATTATAAACTTAAAAAAAAGGACAATCTATGATTTCTCTTGTTCAAAATATTTTCCTTCTTTATATTCCAGAAAAACCAAAGCAGTTAAAATCAGAGAAGCCCCTTGATTTATTGTAAATAAGTTTTTAATGCTGGATACCTGTAAGAATGTGTTACACGTGTGTGTATATTGAAAAGAATGAATTATGTAATTGATAACAGCATACTTAAAAATGTCTTGTAATTAATTTGTGAGTGTTACTATGAGATCAAAAGTTCTGTGCTGAGAAAAACTGTTACTGCAGTGAAGGGGTTAATAAAATACTGCCAAACTTTACTTACCTCCTCTCACACTACAGCTATTACTCAACTGCTAGGGTTTCCTTCCTCTGCTCATCTGAGCATTGGTCTGATTTTTTCCAGCTTGCTCCAGTCTTTTATTCCCCACTTAATTACACTTGATGATATCTGTCTTGTGACACACTCCACCTACGTCAGTGCACCCTCTATCCTGGTACTATATATGAGCACCTCATTCAGATAATAATAATATCACTTTTTCTCAACAAGGAATTCACTAATGGGTTTCTCTGTATTATGACCATTGGAGATAATTTGAGCATTATTCGTGTTACCTAGCTGTTTTTCATACAAATAAAATTTATTTGGCAAGTATATATACAATATGAATTCCTGGACTATTATTTTTGGCAGGGAGGCAAGTCAGGTCTCTCCTATCCCACTTCTGATATGTAGCACTGCTCAACAGTTGGGGGGAGGTCACTCTCAGTTGAGGCTGTCTGTGACGTTATTTGGTCCAGTAATGTTTCTCCAGGGGGTTCTGAGGCTGCACTTCTGGGCAATCCTGGACATTCTGGAGAGAATGTAAATTGGCATTTCCTAGCACCTTCCTCTATTCTGTCAGTTTCTCAGGAGACCAAATTGGGATCAGCTGCCTCCAGCTCCTTTTCTTCAGTTGACAAATTGAGTGTGTGATGTTTTGAGTCTTTTCTCAGTTGCTTTTGAGTCTGTGTCTTCCTTGAGGGTGGAAAGGTCTGCTGGCAAATACTTAATTCTCCCTCCATCCCCTAAAATTGCAGTTCATGCAGAGAGGTGTACTGCTTGGTTATGTTAAAGGACAGCTATACTTTGTCTGCTGTGTTTGTTGGAACAACATGCTTTAGCCTACCACCTCCAGGTGGATGCACATTTAGACTCACAACAAATAGACCCAGTCCTGAAAATTTTTGGTTCCAGTACAAATTCTGTGATTACACTAAATAGATCACACTTTTCTAGGCTTCATCTGACTAACTACATTGTTAAAATATTTATCAACCCTCCAACTTTTGTTGGAAGCTTCTCAGTGATTGCCACATCAATTTGATGATGAGTTGGGATCATTGTTAGCATCTACCTTGGTTCGATTGTCAGCTTCTGCACTTTCTATAGTCTCTTGTTGGGATTTGTGGGACAGAGATGCATTGTTGAAGGGCATTTGTCTACTGGCTGGCTCTCTCCATGAATTACATGAGGCCCTCTTTCTCTGACCCTTAATTTTTGCGACCATTTCAGTCTTTTTAGAATCAAGGGTTAATGTTGCCTGTCTGCATTCATCCCTGTTGCTGTTGGCTTCTTGACTTTCCTTTTCTCCTACAGGGATCATAGTTATGCCCCTAATCGAGTGTCCCGACCCTTGACATCAGCTCCTTGGTCCATTGGTATCCAGAGTAAATTCCATCCACATCCACAAGGTTCCTCCACTTGGTTGGAACACCAGGACTGTGGATGACCAAGTTCAATGTCGCCAATGCCTATCTGCATGTCTTCATAGCAGAGTCATCCCACCACTGTCTGCATTTTGTGCACAAAGGTCAAGTACTGCAGTTCATGGCTTTGCCCTTTGGACTAGCATTGGCACCATGTGTGTTTTGCCGAATCATACAAGCTTTTCCTCATCACTTTCATTCTATAGGTCTGTGCACGCTATATTACATGGATGACTGGTTACTGCTGGCACCATCTTGTTAGTTGGTGGAATGTCACACCCAGATTCTAATTTCAGAAGCAACCAAGGCAGGCTTTATTATCAGAGCTGAGAAAGCTATTCTCACTCCATCACAATATATCATCCATCTGGGTGTCTTTTTCAACACGTATCTCAGTCTGGCTCAGCCGACTCCCACCTGGCTCCACACTATAGAACAGGCAGTCTGACTCTTACTCACTTCAACTTCTCTCACTGTGCAGATGGTTCTTTCTCTTTTGGGGAGGTGGGCCTCACTCAAATTCCTCTTTCCTTTGGGATGAGCACACGAGATCCCTCCAGTAGACCATATATGAACAATGGATCAGGAACTTGTCAGAATCAACATATTTAATCTCGAGTTGTGGTTAGATCGGAACAATACTACAATAGGTGTTCCTCTGCCACCACCTTACCCAGAGATTTATGTCTTCATGGATGCCTTGCTTCATGGATGGGGTGCATATCTCAATGGTCAGGAATTCCAGGGCCTATGGACAGATGATGAGGCTTCCCTACACAATGGCTTAGAACTTCTTGCTGTTCAAAGGGCGATGTCTCAAGGTCTAGACTTATTAAGGGGAGAAATCATAATGCTTCACTTTGAAAATTCTATAGAGGTGTCTTACATTTCCCCTGGTTTGACCGGCTCAACCTTGGTTTCCACTTCTTAGGTATCTTTAGGTGTGCCCACCTTTTCAACTTCCTCTTTTGACCATCTCTGTTGTGGCAGCCAGGATCCAACATTGTATACTCAGCCATCCTGAAACTCAAGCTTCATGAATGGAGGTTATG